AAATCTTTTTATTTAAAAAAAATTTAAAATGTTTGTTCCATTATAAGTTTCTGGCTTGTATTTATTTCCATGAATATAAAAGTTTTGGCAGGTTTAAGCGGTTAGAGTAAAATGAGAGGTAAAAAGGAAATTGGTTAGTGTGAAGATTTGGGAGTGGAATGGGAGATAGAAGGAAACACAAAGAGAGAGAGGTAGAAAAGGAAAGAGGGGCCAAAAGTTGACAGAGTTGGAAGGGAGAAGAGGAAACAGATACTTAATCTTCATTCTATAGACACTCAGTGGAAAGAATTTCTAATACCAGGATTCATGCAGTACTTTGTGGCTTTAAAAAATTTACTTCTTCTAATTGTTGGTTTAACAATGGCCATTGGATGCTTTGTCTTGTTTGTTTTTAAGGGGATAGAAGATCATCCCTTTTACATTCTTAACATCTTTAGTGTTCTCCAGACAATATAGGTATATATGTTTTTTGTTTTGGTATGTATGTTTATATTACTTTGTTATATCAAATTAAGAATATTGATTTTCATCCAGGTACAGTGGCACATACCTGTCATCCCAGCTACTTGGGAGGCTGAGGAAGGAGAAACACTCAAGCTCAGGAGTTTGAATCTAGCTGGGATTCAAAACCATCTCTTAAAAAAAAAAAAAAAAAGGCAAGGTGCAGGTGTACACACCTGTAATCCCAGCACTTTGGGAGGGCGAGGTAGGAGGATTGCTTGAAGCCAGGAGTTCAAAACCAGCCTGGGCAACATAGCAAGAACCCATCTCCACACTCACACAAAAATGTTTTAAGTTAGCTGGGCATGGTGGCATGTGCCTGTAGACCCAGCTGCTTGAGAGGCTATGATGGGAGGATAACTTGAGCCCAAGAGTTCAAGGATACAGACAGTGAGCTATGGTGACACCACTGCATTCCAGCCTGGGCAATAGAGTGAGGTCTTGTTGAACCTGTCTCTGAAAGAGAAAAAAGCCTGGGTGCGGTGGCTCATTCCTGCAATCTGAGCACTTTGGGAGGCAGAGGCGGGCAGATTGCCAGGTCAAGAAATTGAGACCATTCTGCCCAACGTGGTGAAACCCCATCTCTACTAAAAATACAAAAAAATTAGCTGGGCATGGTGGCATACAGCTGTAATCCAAGCTACTCAGGAGGCTGAGGCAAGTAGAATCACTTGAACCCAGGAGGCGGAGGTGGAGGTTGTAGTGAGCCGAGATCTTACTACTACACTCCAGCCTGGTCGCAGAGGGAGACTCTGACTCAAAAAAAAAAAAAGAGAAAAGAAAAAATTTTCATATCTTCCCTTCTGTAGTAGTTTTTAATAGGACAGAATTAATCACGGCTTTCTTATATATAATATATATTAGATTTTATCTAAGCTTACTAAATTAAATATTACTCTGAATTTAAGAATTTTCTACTTTTCGTCTTTCTACCTATGCCACAACTATAGGGAAAGGATGATGTTGTTAAGTAAACTATCCCTCTCTTAAAATTTTGGTTAGGATTCGTAATTTATATAATCAGATGTGGGCGTTGTACCCTAAAATATTCCATTAAGTATGTACTTTTACTAGACATTCTTACAAAGCCTTATTTATTCTTTTGACAGGTTGAAGTATTTGCTTATTTTTCAGTTTTCAGACATTCTTTTTTTTTTTAATTTATTTTTAATTAATTTATTTATTTTTAAGACAGGGTTTCATCATGTTGGCCAGGCTGGTCTTGAACTCCTGGCCTCAGGTGATCCGCCCGCCTCGGCCTCCCAAACTGCTGAGATTACAGTCATGAGCCACCGCGCCCGGCCTCAACTTTATTTTTAAGACTGCTATTTGAAAAGCATCTAAAAGCACATAGTTTTTCTAATACCAAAAAGGTATTTGCTTTTTTTGTGTTTTTAAGCGTTATCCCTTTCAAGAGTCAGCTTATAAATAAAAATAAAACAGTTAATGCTTAAATAATCTTGACTTTAGTGCTCTTTAGTATGGAGTCTGTCTTTCCAAGAAAGGAGCTTTAAAAAGGCCAAAGGTTAAATTGTCTTGAAAGTAACAAACTTGTTCTTTCTGGAATGTAAATACAAATATGTAGAAGATAAATATATTCTAAACCTTTGAGGTCTCATTTGGCCATCTTATGCCTTTGTCACATAAACAGATAAATGAGATATTGGAAAAAGTTTTACTAATAATCAGTGAAGTGGCATTTCCATACACTATTTGAAAATGGAGGGAAAGGTTCCAGACTTTACATTTCATTTTTGTAGTATATTAATGTAATTTTGTGCCTTTTATTTTCTTATCAGAACAATATATGTCATATTTTTCTTGAATGTTTTTAAAAAACAAGTATCTTGGGCCGGGCGCGGTGGCTCAAGCCTGTAATCCCAGCACTTTGGGAGGCCGAGGCGGGTGGATCACGAGGTCAAGAGATCGAGACCATCCTGGTCAACATGGTGAAACCCCGTCTCTACTAAAACTACAAAACATTAGCTGGGCATGGTGGCACGTGCCTGTAATCCCAGCTACCCAAGAGGCTGAGGCAGGAGAATTGCCTGAACCCAGGAGGCAGAGGTTGCGGTGAGCCGAGATCGCGCCATTGTTACTCCAGCCTGGGTAACAAGAGCGAAACTCCGTCTCAAAAAAAAAAAAACAAGTATCTATTTCCTGTTACTCCAAAAAGTTACCTTTAAATAAACTGATTTTGTTAATGCTTCATCTAAAAGAATATATAATTGTCAGTGTATGACCAATAACCCTTTCCATTCTGTTCACACATTAACCCTGTGGGTTCTAGACAATATTTGTTTTTTGGTTTTTGTTTGTTTCTTTTCTTAGATGGAATTTCGCTCTTGTTGCCCAGGCTGGAGTGTAGTGGCGCAATCTCAGGTTCAAGCAGTTGCCTCCCAGTTTCAACCTCTGCCTCCCAGATTCAAGTGATTTTCCTGCCTTAGCCCCCTGAGCAGCTGGGATTACAAGCATGTGCCAGTATACCCAGCTAATTTTTTGTATTTTTAGTAGAGATGGGGTTTTACCATGTTGGCCAAGCTGGTCTCGAACTCCTGATCTCAAGTGATCTACCCTCCTTGGCCTCCCAAAGTATTGGGATTACAGGCGTGAGCCAAGTCACCCAGCCAGTGTATTTGATTATACATTCACCATTTCTTTTAAGCTCCCCAGCATTGATGAAAATGGCATTTATCATTTACAAACAGGTTAAATATCTCTTATCTGAAATGCTTCAGACCCAAAGTATTTCAGGTTTTGAATTTTTTTGGACTTCGGAATATTTGCATATATATAATGAGGTTTTCATGGGAATGGGACCCAAGTCTAAACACAGAATTCATTTATGTTTCATATACACCTATACACATAGCCTGAAGGTAATTTTATATAATATTTTAAATAATTTTGTACAGTAAAGTTTCAAAAAGCAAAGGTGTCACTGTTCCAGCCATCTTTGTAAATAATCTGGCATCACTGTCATTCCTGACTCTGAATTTATTTTTTTTTTAATTATTTTAAGTTTTAAATTTTTTTTAGATGGAGTCTTTCTCTGTCGCTCAGGCTGGTGTGCAGTGGCACAATCTCGGCTCACTGCAATCTCCATGTCCCAGGTTCAAGCAATTCTCCTGCCTCAGCCTTCCGAGTAGCTGGGATTACAGGTGCCCACCGACACACCCATCTAAATTTTTGTATTTTTAGTAGAGATGGGGTTTCACCTGCCACTGAATTTATATGCTACCGATAAGCAATCCTTTTCTTGTACATCTTCACACATAACAGTGCAATCATGGCTCACTGCAGCCTTGACCTCAGGGGTTTAAGTGATCCTCCCACCTCAGCCTCTTAAGTAGCTGGGAATTATATGTATATGCTACCATGCCCAGCTAATTTTTTTGATTTTTTTGTAGAGACAAGGCCTCACTGTTGTCCAGGATAGTTTGAACTCCTGGGCTCAAGTGATCCTCCCACTTCATCCTCCCAAAGTGATGGGATTACAGATGTGAACCACTGCCCCTGGCCCAGGTGTGTAAATTTTGGAGCACTGTAGTGGTGCTCAAAAAGTTTGGGATTTTAGAGCATTTGAGATTTTAGATTTTTGGCCAGGAGTGGTGGCTCACACCTGTAAGCACTTTGGGAGGCCAGGGTGGGTGGATCACAAGGTCAGGAGTTCAAGACCAGCCTGACCAACATGGTGAAATCCT